GGACATGGCATTTAGTACATATTGCTAGATAAATTCTGATTCAAAATTAAGAATAGACAGTCACATTTTACAGGCCAAAGGGGTGGTTCTTTCAGTCCTTCCCCCTCCACTATCAAATCCCTTCTTCTTCCAACCTGTCTGTGTTAAGTAGTGGGAGTTAAAAAACAAATGAATAAAGGAATAGATTTAAGTAAGAGAATTTGGGTGGACTGCAGACTGCAGTTCAGTATGCACATGTTATAATACAGCTTGTGTCAGGTGTGTTCCCACCCAGGTGTGCGGGACAATATTAGGATTAGACTGGCCTATGGTGAGCTAACCATAAGCAGACATTTGGAGTAGAAAAGTGCTCTAAAAGTGACCCATGTGAATGATTAAAGTATAATTTCTACAAATATGTCTTTGATTGGTCAGTCCTTGATCGGTCAGTAAAGTCCAGTTAAGGTATCCAGTGAGTGACCAGTTCAAGAACATCTGCTGTGTCCAGTCACTATTTATTACTGGTATTTTAATGAAATGTCATGGACAGTGATAAATGATTTGATTTGTCACATCAGTCAGTTGGTCAGTTGCATCAACAAATACTAGGTAAATTTTGATAGCCTCAGTAAAAGTATACAACTGAATATATAGTTTGGTTATTCACAGGCTGAGTAAGAAAATGTTTGATATTGATTGAATGAAATAATACATGTACCAATACCATTCTTATTGATTATTCCATCAATTGACACCTGTTGTGTACTGGTTCGTAATCCACCATTTGTGAGTCAGGAGCTATAAATAGAGAAATTGTGTGACTAATACAAAATTTATTGATTAAAAATGATGTTTTGGCAAAAAGAAGTCAACATGATTAATAATGTAGTATCATTGCACTGATTATATGTTTTCATGTTTCTGTATTATGAAATGTTTCTTTTGAATTTCATTATAAGTAAATGTTGCTAAACAGTAATTTTAACATCAGCTATTTTTGGCAATAAGCTCAAGATAGAAGAGACAATTTCTAGTAGTGTTTTCATTTTTTCAGTATGAAGAGATAAAATGCTGTAGTTTCACTATTTTTCACCAAATTGAAGACTGATTTTGTTCATTGTTTGAAAAAGTTTGTAGCCTAAAGAGCTTGTAAATGGCACAAGATAATACTGCTCTCAATTGTATAATTTTGCTGAAATAAACCATTTGACTGAAAAAAAAAAGTATCCTAGAGTTAACTTAGAATGAGATTGATGATAAAAAATCTGTTTCATGTTGGAGAAGATGAGCAAATGATAGAGATTAGAACACTCCTGAAATTTTAGTTTTTTAAATATCGATTTTATTATTTCCCCTCTTAGTATTTTGTATGTGTTCCAAAGGTTTTGATAAATCCAATATGTAGAACAAAAAAACAAAAAAAAAACAAAAAAAAAAAAAAAGCCATTGCCCTCAGAAGTGAATCCTTAAAAATGAGTGAACTCATAATAAAGTTTTCCAGGAAAACAGTGATTGATCATAAAAGCATTTTAAGACGCAGCTTGCTTTGATCAGCCAAAAAGCAATGATAAACAGCATCAGGTTAGGCTTTGCGCTATTGATTCAATAGAAATTCATACTGATTGAAATCCTTTCAAAGCCTGATAGATGAATTCACTGGAGCAAAAAAAAAAAAAAAGCTTAATGTGCTGGCGGCCTTTTCCAGGGATTGTGAAGCACGTAGGGTTCCATTAAGCCTTTTGACGTGGGAAGTTATTGGATAAGGGGTTGTGGTCATTTTAATACTGAATGTGCCAAGTGTCCGCCACAGTTGTAAAGATACCCTACTATTTATGACTAGTGTAAGGTTAAGAGGATTAAAAAAATAACATTTCACTAAATTAATGTAGAGCTAAGAGGTCCTTACTTTTTTTTTTTTTTTTGTCAATAAATCTGGTGTCTGAAATGTAGGTTGGTAAGTAGTTTAAAAAGAAGGTGAGGGTTTTCTCAACATTCATCTCATATCTGTTTACAGTGTGATTGATTACAATATCTGAGCATTACAATTGGCTGCAGTTAGTACCTGTTCTAATTTTGTCAGATAGCAGATTTTTTCACTTATAGAATAGAATTTGAGATAAAAAATGTTACAATTTTATTANATTTTTTTTTTTTTTTTTTTTTTTTATCCCAGCAAAGCAAAACTACAGGTGCGAAACCTGCTATGTGGTGTGAGGGGATTAGGAGGGGGGGAGGGGGGGGGGTGAATGCCTCCCACAGAATTTATTCAAAATAGAATAATGCCTGCAAATAATGGTAGTCTATACTAAGTAATATGTAGAATGTGTGTAAGTTGCATGTAGAGTTGACGCCTCTGCTTCCTTTTTTTTTTTTTTTTTTTGTTTTGCTGATGCTTATTGATCAGAATAATTGTCCATTAATTCTTAAGTCAACCTAAGTCCTTGAGTCAACACAGTATTCTGATATTCTGTCCACAATACATCAGTTTGAGAAAGTAGGATCAGATCGGGGTCAAACTTGATGTTTGTTTGTTGTTTGTATTTTTCTAGGAAATGACATCTGAATCTCATCATGATCATGTGGTTTGTTTATCACAACAGTGCAATCATTTGCGTAGTATGTAGTATGGTAACCTGCAGGCCTTTGAACAGGAATTTCAAAGGGGAGTAGGTAGTTCTGTGAAGTAGTGGATCTTTTTTTGGACATGGCATTTAGTACATATTGCTAGATCAATTCTGATTCAAAATTAAGAATAGACAGTCACATTTTACAGGCCAAAGGGGTGGTTCTTTCAGTCCTTCCCCCTCCACTATCAAGTCCCTTCTTCTTCCCACCTGTCTGTATTAAGTAGTGGGAGTTAAAAAACAAATGAATAAAGGAATAGATTTAAGTAAGAGAATTTGGGTGGACTGCAGACTGCAGTTCAGTATGCACATGTTATAATACAGCTTGTGTCAGGTGTGTTCCCACCCAGGTGTGCGGGACAATATTAGGATTAGACTGGCCTATGGTGAGCTAACCATAAGCAGACATTTGGAGTAGAAAAGTGCTCTATAAGTGACCCATGTGAATGATTAAAGTATAATTTCTACAAATATGTCTTTGATTGGTCAGTCCTTGAACGGTCAGTAAAGTCCAGTTAAGGTATCCAGTGAGTGACCAGTTCAAGAACATCTGCTGTGTCCAGTCACTATTTATTACTGGTATTTTAATGAAATGTCATGGACAGTGATAAATGATTTGATTTGTCACATCAGTCAGTTGGTTAGTTGCATCAACAAATACTAGGTAAATTTTGATAGCCTCAGTAAAAGTATACAACTGTATATATAGTTTGGTTATTCACAGGCTGAGTAAGAAAATGTTTGATATTGATTGAATGAAATAATACATGTACCAATACCATTCTTATTGATTATTCCATCAATTGACACCTGTTGTGTACTGGTTCGTAATCCACCATTTGTGAGTCAGGAGCTATAAATAGAGAAATTGTGTGACTAATACAAAATTTATTGATTAAAAATGATGTTTGGCAAAAAGAAGTCAACATGATTAATAATGTAGTATCATTGCACTGATTATATGTTTTCATGTTTCTGTATTATGAAATGTTTCTTTTGAAATTCATTATAAGTAAATGTTGCTAAACAGTAATTTTAACATCAGCTATTTTTGGCAATAAGCTCAAGATAGAAGAGACAATTACTAGTAGTGTTTTCATTTTTTCAGTATGAAGAGATAAAATGCTGTAGTTTCACTATTTTTCACCAAATTGAAGACTGATTTTGTTCATTGTTTAAAAAAGTTTGTAGCCTAAAGAGCTTGTAAATGGCACAAGATAATACTGCTCTCAATTGTATAATTTTGCTGAAATAAACCATTTGACTGAAAAAAAAAGTATCCTAGAGTTAACTTAGAATGAGATTGGTGATGAAAAATCTGTTTCATGTTGGAGAAGATGAGCAAATGATAGAGATTAGAACACTCCTGAAATTTTAGTTTTTTAAATATCCATTTTATTATTTCCCCTCTTAGTATTTTGTATGTGTTCCAAAGGTTTTGATAAATCCAATATGTAGAACAAAAAAACAAAAAAACAAAAAAAAAAAAAACGAAAAACAAAACAAAAAAAAAAGCCATTGCCCTCAAAAGTGAATCCCTAAAAATGAGTGAACTCATAATAAAGTTTTCCAGGAAAACAGTGATTGATCATAAAAGCATTTTAAGACGCAGCTTGCTTTGATCAGCCAAAAAGCAATGATAAACAGCATCAGGTCAGGCTTTGCGCTATTGATTCAATAGAAATTCATACTGATTGAAATCCTTTCAAAGCCTGATAGATGAATTCACTGGAGCAAAAAAAAAAAAAAAGCTTAATGTGCTGGCGGCCTTTTCCAGGGATTGTGAAGCACGTAGGGTTCCATTAAGCCGTGGGAAGTTATTGGATAAGGGGTTGTGGTCATTTAATACTGAATGTGCCAAGTGTCCGCCACAGTTGTAAAGATACCCTACTATTTATGACTGGTGTAAGGTTAAGAGGTTTTAAAAAAAAAAAAACATTTCACTAAATTAATGTAGAGCTAAGAGGTCCTTACTTTTTTTTTTTTTTTTTTTTTTTCAATAAATCTGGTGTCTGAAATGTAGGTTGGTAAGTAGTTTAAAAAGAAGGTGAGGGTTTTCTCAACATTCATCTCATATCTGTTTACAGTGTGATTGATTACAATATCTGAGCATTACAATTGGCTGCAGTTAGTACCTGTTCTAATTTTGTCAGATAGCAGATTTTTTCACTTATAGAATAGAATTTGAGATAAAAAATGTTACAATTTTATTATTTGGTGTGGCTTTCATAAATATTTTGTACCCTTCCTGCCAAAGTCAGGGTGGAACTAGATGTCAAAAATATTGTTCTCTCCCTTTCTCTCTTGGAAAAAAAATGAGATATTGGGGATTTTTTCTAATTTTACATGAAATTCACATCTCAGACTAACAATAAAATAAGTCTTTTTTCTTCCCAGTATCCCCATTGCAGTAAGTAACTAACTACAACAACACCAGTCCATCATGCCCTCCGAGTCACCAAACAGCAAGAAGCCACTAGTCGATGTGCCATCCCAGGCCAGTATGCAGCCTTTGATGAAGTCTGACGTCAGCGTCAATATACCTGAGGGCTACGCGAGTGAGGGCTACCTGGGCTCGAAAGCCACAGTGGTGTCCTCTCTGGACGGCTCAAACGATGAGCTCAAGGTGGTCATAGACAATGGTGAGTTACTTGTGGTCAGTGGTTGGCTCAGTCCCAGGTTCAGTCTTGTCTCCCAAAATGCATTTCAATACATCTACTTTGCCTAGCTACTGTATATTACTTCTAAATTTGGGAAGCTATTTGTGTTCATAGAGGATTTGGAGTTATTCTAACAGCATCCAATGTTCACAAGAGTAACCCAGTAAATTTCTCTTATTATAAGGTATACGTACTGATAAGAATATTAAGGCCTAACTGGCTATTTTCATAATTGTTAAGATCTTTGATAGACAATAATAAAGAATTTAGTTAAAAAGCTTATTTTTATTACTTAAAAAAGAGGATGAATTAAAAAAGAGGTTATTGCCACTTTGGTCCATTTTGAAGTGCAACTTTGAGTTACAGCAGAGTCAGCCAAGGCTGGTTTTTGACATAAGATTTTTTTACAGAACAGCTAAGCGGACCAGTTTTGTCATTCTAGTCAGTGATTGTAATCCTAAAATAGTAGCATCACAGTGTAAGGTACAGGTTTATTCACCTGAGCAGTATACGATGCATGGGCCTGTTATGTTTATGATAAAAAAATGTGGGATTCGTCTTAAAACTCTCTGTTTCATTTTGTATTCAGGTCCAGTGAAAGGTGGCTTTGACAGTGACGACAGTGGCTCTGCAGAATCTGATGATGTCATCAGTAATTGTGCTCGTCTGGAGGCCGTACAGGGGGCGGTAGATACTTTCTTGGAAGAGCACAAGAGAACATTGGAAATAGTAAGAAATATTTTTGAATATTTTTATGAATGAAACAACATCAAATAGATTACATAGAAATGCAAATCATTTATAATAAGATGCCATTTTGCCTTTTTTATATAGTAATATAGTAATAATATATATTCATTTTGGACATTGAAAATGATAAGAATTAATAAAGAAGAAATTGATCCTGTTCTTTGAAAATCTGACATATTAAATGACAATTAACAATTCCTTTTTCCAGATTGCCCTAGTACTCCTCTTGATTGGATACGCCATCTATTTTGTCTGGGCCTTGGTCCTAGACTTTGAACGGGCAACAGCATTATTCGTAATCACATTACTGGTGGTGATCAGTGTAGCTTATGCACTGATAAAGAAACAGATTGGTGGATGGATGAATACACGTATTTTTAAGCCAGTGCAGAAGTTTGGCAATTCAAACAGGAGAGTTTTAAAATGGTAAGATAAATTTTGTTCAGGTTTTTTTTTTTTTAATGCCAACTTTACTGGTAGAGACTTGATACGGTTATTTTCTTTTGAAAAGTGCATAAAATTGTCAGTGAATATATTGAGCCATTTATAATATAAAGTCATAAGACTAGGTAATTTTAATAAATTAAACTGGAGAAATATGAATTTGGAACCCTTTAGCCAGAACCGTGCATTAAACTGATGGCTTTTTATGTAACAATGTCTTAGTCGTTATTACAACCAGAGAGCAGCAGCTTGTCTCAGAATTCTTTACTCTTTAACAAAATTTGCTAAATAATAATTTTCTAAATTACAGGGTTTCAGCTGCTGTCTTGTTGGCATGTTTCATTACATTTGTCATAGTAGACATTAAACCTGCTCCAAAACAGTTCATATCACTGGGAGGTTTGGCTCTGTTTGTGCTCCTGATGTTTGTATTTTCAAAACATCCATCAAAGGTAAATTTTATTTATACAAGTCTTGGTGTATATTTCTGTAATATTGATTGTAAGAATGATAATATTCATAGTTTTGATGGAAATTCATGTGTAATTATTAATATCTAAAATTCATCCATAGAATAAACACAACACATTAACAGTTAAAAAGATATAGGGAAATTGAAGTGACTTGATTGATATAATTGAAACTATATTTTCAATTATATTAATCACAGACAGTTTAAACTATATCTTAAAAGGAATGGTGTTGATTGCATATGATAAATGGTATATTTCATAAAATGGTGCATGTAAAAAAAATGACCTCCACCCACACACATCCCCCCCCCCCACTCCTCATCTGCAACCCCCACTCTCCATCCACTCGGCAACCTATCCACCTTTCCAACAAGTAAAAATACGATGTCACATATTGGCTTGTCTTGCATGACCTAATTTGGGTGGTTACATAATTTAAAACTTCATTACTAATATGGTACATTATTTCCCTATGGTCACTCTAGGTTGACCTGCGTCCAGTGGTGTGGGGATTTGCCCTCCAGTTCCTGTTTGGTATTCTCATCCTGCGGACCACGTGGGGTTATGATGCCTTCAGATTCCTCGGGAAAGAAATCAACCAGTTTCTGAAATACACAGATTACGGCTCAGAGTTTGTCTTTGGAAAACTTTACGAGAATCACTTCTTCGCTTTCAAGGTAAAATAAAAAGTTGGAAAAATTTCTTCAGATTTTTAAGATAGATTTCTGCTGCTTTCATTTTAATGCAGTAACTTAGACACTAGTATACAAACATGGCTCTTAAGATGTATTTGTATTAATTTGATAATGTTCTCCTTAAACTTTTAAGATTAAAATTGTAAAACATTTACTTTTGTTTGTCAAAGTAAAGAGTTGAGATATCTCAGATACCATATTTTATGCTACATATCTTTAAATATACTATTTTGAATTCACTGATTATATTGATGGTTTTATACTTCAACAAAATGAAGCCTTTTTAATTCAATGCTCATTCTGAAATGCACTTCTCATCTTCTGTTGCTCAACTTTCTCAGTTTTTATAAAAGTGAGATGTTTACACTGTCTTCACACCAAATGTCAGAAAGATTGTAGCTGTGCAACATAAGCCTCATAACATATAATTTTGTTCTGTTACTGGGCACTGTTTCTGCTTTGGGCAGGAAGATTCAGATACTGTTGTCCCACAGGGCCAGTACAGTTAAAGGTTTTTGGCACAGACCAACTTCATAATGTATTGTGACATTTCCAGGTCCTTCCAGTGATTGTGTTCTTTAGTTGTGCCATATCAGCACTGTACCATGTGGGTGCCATGCAGTTTATCATTGGGAAGATCGCCTGGGTGATGCAGGTTACCATGGCAACTGCTGCCACGGAGTCGCTAAGTTGTGCTGGGAATATATTTGTTGGGCAGGTAAGGGATTGTCTTGATCTTTACTTTTGGTAGAGGATCTGAAGAATTTGTGTTAAAATAATATTTGAAATATATAGAAAAATAAATAGGAAAGAAATAAGTAAAATAAGATGCAATTGGAATTTTGTATGCAATAAAGATTCAGATATGGAGAAATTGGGAAACGTTAAGTTATAAAACAAAAGAAAGAAGATGTTTTGAATTGCTCTTCAAAATTGTATTTTAACCCATAATTACTCCTTTGCTTTGCAGATGGTGGCCTCAATTCTAGTCAGTTTTCATTTCTTTGTAGATGGAGTCTTAACTTTCGTTGCAGACAATGGTGCCAATTTTATTCCTAGTTTTATTTTTACAGACTGAGGCCCCTATTCTAATCCGTCCCTTCCTGGAGTCCATGACTAAGTCTGAGCTGCATGCTGTCATGACAGGAGGATTTGCCACCATTGCTGGGGGAGTGCTAGCTGCTTATATACTGTTTGGGGTAAGGAAGTGTGTGTGTGAATAAATGGACATACTGAGATAATTACCATTGACCAGTATCATACATGTACTTCAAGCAATCAGAATTATCTTATTCATTTGTGAAATATTTTTATTTTATTCAGTAAGTGCCGTTACCCTTCTCGGACACAATTAAGTGTATTATTTGTGATTCCAAATTACAAATAACATATACACACCATTTGTAGAATCACATTCAATATGAATTCTATCAGTAAAATGTGTTAGGTGTGACAAGACAGCTCAGTTAGCACAATCAAAGCAACATATAATAATAATAATGTAATATATCACTATCTCCCAGGTCCCAGCTGAACACCTGCTGTGTGCCTCTGTAATGAATGCCCCAGTGGCGCTTGCCGTCTCCAAACTCTTCTATCCAGAGACTGAGGAGTCCAAAACCAAGAAATTTGATCAGATAGTAATGGAGAAAGGGTAAGACAGATTATAGGTGATGTTTTTTTGTATAATTAAGTTGATTTTTTATATAATCTTTTTTAACTTAGTAGAAGCTGCTTTGTAAGAGAGTGTGCAGATGTCTTGACTATTTTTACCTTTGTTTTTTTAATTCATTCATCAATTTTCATTCACAGATATGGTTTTTATTCATGCTTTCATCAATATGCAATTAGAAATTTGATTTCACTTAAAATCATAAAGGGGTGTAGTTAATTCAATTTTTTCATTCCATTAATTTTTTTTTCAATTTATTTGTTGTTTTCAGAACTGAGAGAAACCTAATAGAAGCAGCAGCAGCAGGGGCATCTCAGTCTATCATGCTGGTGGCCAACATTGCAGCCAATCTCATCGCTTTCCTCGCCATGTTGGCCTTCATCAATGCCACATTGTCATGGTTTGGAGGCATGGTGGGATATCCGGAGTTCAGCTTCCAGGTTAGCATACAAGGGGCCCATTCACAAAAGGACTTAGGTCTAAAATAGATCTTACAAAAAAATGATCTAAGTATTTTATTAAAAATAATAATACTAAGCTCCATTTCATAAAAATCTGTGGCTGCATATCTTTTAAAATTTTGCATCTAAATCTCTAAAGAAAATTTGCTTGTCAGCCTCATTTATTGAGAGCCAATTATTTGTAGAACAAGATCACATTCAACTGAAATGAAACTGAGGGGGGTAATGATTACCTGATTGTTTTGAAGTAAGAAATAAAATCTACTTTTTCTTTCCCCAGATGATCTGTTCCTACCTGTTCATGCCTGTGGCATTCATGATGGGAGTGGACTGGGAAGATTGCTCCTTTGTTGCTGAACTTCTGGGCATTAAGATCTTCCTTAATGAGTTTGTTGCCTATGAAGAACTCAGCAAGTACATCCACAACAGAGAGAACTGTACATTCCCTCAAATTTCTGTAAGTATTTTAAAGTCATTTGTGTGCTATGGCAAGCATTTATCTGCAACACTAGCATGTTATAAGTAAACGTGTTATATCAAGTAGCTGAAATTGGTTGACTGGCAACATTGTCCTTGTTACCTCTCTCTCTCTTTCTCTCTCTCTCTCTCTCTCTCTCTCTCTCCTGCTATTTTACAATTACCTAGGTATTTTCTTTCAGTAATGAGATTAAATCAGTTTTGATAATACTACTACCTCTCATTTCAGGTACGTTCAGAAGTCATTGCCACATATGCTCTCTGTGGGTTTGCTAACCTCAGCTCCATTGGTATACAGCTGGGCGGGATAGGCCCCATGGCGCCCTCTAGGAAAGGGGACCTGGCCAAGATAGCTGTGAGAGCGCTGATTGCTGGAACAGTGGCCACTCTGATGACTGCTTGTATAGCTGGTGAGTGATTGTGCTGGTTGAGCTCTCTCAGCACACCTAACACAAGATGATTTAAGATCATTATAGCTTGTGATTTGGTCTTGAGATTGTATTTCTGGCTTGTGATTGTGCTGGTTGAGCTTTTGTCACACCAAACACATTTGGTGGATTTGTCGCTAATTTTACGATATTCGAATGTTCACATGTATATTGGGAGTCATCTAGTATCACAACAAACACACTTAGACTGTTTTCCCAGAGCTTTATGATAGATCTATCCCCGCGGGGAGTCTCACTAGATTACTGTCAGATAATCCGGCTTAAATGTCCGTCCCACCTACTACAAGCTGTAAGGGTGTAATTAACTTTCGTGCCCGCTCGGCTGACAGCTATTTAGCGTGAACCCCCAGGGAGTTAGGTCGATCTAAAGTAGATCGATCTTATCTCTGGAAATGGGGTCTTAGAGGAGAGGACTTCTTTACAGTGGTGGTGAGTTTTACGCCTTTAGGTAGGTTAGCATAAGTTCAGGTGGCCTTCCCCTGATCTGCTGACTGAGAGAAAAATTCACCTGTTGTCATCATTAAAGCTACTTAGCTTTTTTCATAATTACTGCACGTTTAGATTCATGTTATGCTTAGCAACTTCTCACAGAATCAACTTTAATACCATTTCATCTGTTCCAGTAATTTTTGAATGATTATTTGAAATAATATGTAAAATTACCTCATTATTTCATTATTTTGGTTCTTGTCATATATATATATAATTTTCTTGACTTAATGAATTGAAAAATGAAAAGATAAATTAGATAAGTGAGTTGAAATGTGTGTAATAACCATATGTTGCTGTAGATTCTAGTCAGATATTTGCCAATGACAATGTTTTGCTAAGGGTTACTTTAACTTCTATGGCCTTCTTGATTTGTGAGATTCTGAACATGAATTCTAAAAATTTATGCATATTTTAGTCAGTTTCAGTGCTGATTTCCATTGTTTCAGACATTCTTCCTATCTTACTAGCATGTAGATTTACTTGGATTTGAGTGTCAATATCATGAATAAATAAAAAAAAAAACATATGTCATTGCTTTAAAACCTTGAATGAACCTCTATTTCAATATTCAAGTCTGCTTTGGCTGTCAGCGGTTAGTTTACTAACTGTTGGAGAAGAAAGATAACTGTCTTTATAGATATTGAGTAGCAGGGATATTAAAAAAGAAAGTGGAATTAATAGGGGAATCAGAGTGTAAAGAACATTAAGTTGATGGAAAGTGGTTGACAGCTCTTCAAAGGGGATGTGCTGAGCAAACAAAATGGATGTCTAATAAGCGTATGACATGATTTTCAATAGGTGGCAATTTTCCTGATGAAATTCACTTGGACCTGTTTAGACATACAATGAAACAGTTCCCTGGTTTGCAGTGTCTGACCTCATTAGATCAGCAAGTTTGTAGACAAGTTGCCAGCCCAGCACTAGGTCACATCTGCACAAGTTAACAGCAGTTAGTCTGATGACAACAAATGGTCTGTGACCTGATATATAAGGAATTTTGGGGAAAAAAACGTTCTTATACTGTGTTTGTTTGGACAGATTTATAGACAAGAAACTTAATTGGAAGTATGCTATGATGCAGTTGTGGTTGAGTGTATTGCCTGTTTGCCCAGTGGAGATTTGAACACAATATACAATTAAGTAAAGTGGTAGCTTATAAGTAAGTTGTAAACACACATGGCTGACTGGGAATTGGAGTTATTTCGAAATATTGTGTAATCCAGTTATACCCACTTTGTTGAACTGTGTTGCCACTTCTGTTATTTAACCCAGCCTCGAGGGGAAAATTGCGGCACTTTTGATATAAACTTGTCAGAAAAAGCCAAACTGGTACCATCACTATGTACACCACTAGGTCACTTAATTTAAGTGGGGACATATCTGCAAGAGAATAGAAAAAAAGGTTAAGATTTTTTTTTTTTTTTTTTTGCTATTTTTTACCAGCTCCATTATTTCATAGCTGACATTGCATTATCAGATATCAGTCTCAGCCAAGTCTGAAAGCTTCAGTTGTTGTTTTCTTTCTTTCTTTCATTTAACCATTGTGTACTTAAAGGGCATATATACGTAATAAATGTACCAATAAATGTCAAGTCAGTATAACAGATGAGGCTTTTTCTTAAATATGTTTACTTTATTTATGCTACATCTTTGATTTTTGATGTTTTTTATCTTTCTTTTAATGAGAAAACAGATTTTTTTCAACAAAATATTTAAAGATTGGCATTTTTGTATAACATGCAGTGTTGGAGCAAAACGGATATTTTCACTTTTACAAGTATTACAAGATATTCCATGAGCCAAGTCAATCGATATTTTATTTTATTGATATTTACCACTTATATAACTTTTTCAAAAGCAGAAAAGACAGGGATTATCACTTTCTGACGACCTTTTCTGTTTCTTTTCAGGCTTTCTGACTCCAGTGGATGTCAGTAACGTGTGTCTCAATGGCACCCTGGCTGCAAACTTCAGCAGTATAGCTAACAGCACCGTCAACGTTACAATTGTGACTTTATAGTGTGGAAACTAGGACACTTTATCAGCAACAACACTGTCATTGTGCAGCAGTAGCATTACCAGACAGTGGAACACAGTGACAGTAATGGTACTGTTATTGTGTAGTGGTTTCATTATGGAATAATGGAACATTAGTAGTGAAAGTGCAGCCAGTAGTTACCATGGTAGCAGAAAAAGAAACAAAGCCCAGTGAGACATTTTTGACAGTACTGTCAGTGTCCAATAGTGACAGTACTATGACATGACAGTGGCACATTTTTGAAGGGACTTCACTGTCAGTGACTTTTAGAACAGTGGGAAGCATTGACAAAAGGGGCCATTGTGGACAGTACCCTTCATCAGTTTATGACATGTTTAGAGTTTGCTGCTCATATTCAGAGACCTTTCCACTGTATAAAATATGTACTGCACATATAGACCTCCTCAGGCTAGCATGGACTTTGTTATCAGTGACTCATAAGAGAAACTGTGGGGAAGTCACAAATTACAGTGTGTGGGGATGGCCAGGTATAAGTGCTTCTACTCTACAGACCGCCATTGGGATTTAATAAAGAAAATGGATGCTGTAGGAGTGCACATTTCATGAAGCCTTAAAAATTGAATATTACTATAATGGTCTCCCCCATACAGTGTAGTTATAGGGAAGTGGTGGTCAGTGCTTTGCCTATTCCTTTCAGAGATGACCACCAATACAATATAGTAACAGGACTTCTGAAGCACTAATTTTTGGTTGAATGATTCTGTGCTCCTGGGATCAAAAGAAAGTCCATTACAGTGCATAGCCCTATCGTTACTTGTGAAATATTTATTATTATGTACACACTCACGGTCTCCTATGTGTGGCCGCAATAATTATTCCTCATGGTTCAGTTAGTTTGCACTTGGTCCTTTGCCTGGAAGGTAGTAGATATTGTGTCCACTATTTTTGTGTCAGGCGATCAGTGAGGCGTTTTTGGTCAGTTTGACCTAAATAGATCATGAGCATGGAAAAAAAATAGACAACATGTTATTTCTTTCTTTATTTGTTATTTATTTATTTATCAATTTATTTATTTAGTTATTTATTTATTATGTGACTTGATTGTAGGGTAGATGCACCATAACCTAAAAATGCCATGTTTGAGAAGAAAATGAATTCAACAAAATGAAGTTTTATAATGCTTCATGCCAAGAATGAAATTATAAAGACAAGAAATTTGCTGAAGATGTGATGGTCAATGGGGATGGAATTTAAGGGCTAGAAAACTTCAACAAAAACTAAATATAATTGTTTTTGTACTTACAGTACTAGCCAGTCTTACAATTATTACCATTATGTAATTAGCATGCTATTTCGTATTGAGCATGTCTTTCTGGGATACCAGTTTCCAGAAAGATTCCTAGTTAGGAGAGAGATCTCAGATGTGGACTCTGACAGTGGGGAAGTATTTTATAACAAATGTCAACTGAAATATTTTTCAAAGAGCATTTATACATAAGATGCTTGTTTACTGGCACAAATAGCTATTCACTTGAGTCATATTTTATATTGCTACAAAAATAAGAATTATAGGCAAAGAACAAATTCCTAAAGACAATAAGAAGGTGGCAGTATCAACCTCTTGCATGCCTGTCTATTATATGGAAGATATTTATTCTATATATTTATTACTATGTTTAAAAAAATCAATGCAAATGTATGGGGGTAGAATTTAGAGTAGATACCCTTGTCTATATACATGTTTGTATACTCTGTAGAATTTTTATACAGTCAATTTTAGATATTGAAAAACCTGTTTTGCAGCTATATTTATGATTGTTTTGCTGTGTATACTCTTGACTAGTCTTTCTCATATATGTTATTGCCATAACTCTTAATTCCCACACTGTATGCTCTTTTATTCACCAAAACCTGAGCAAATTCAGAATGGCGCCAGGTCACCTGACATTATTGACCTTAAAATGACCTTTGACATTTGTCACAGTAGTGGTTCAAGGCAAATTTTCTTTAGATAGATAAGGAAAGGAGAGAGTTTAAGTACGTCTTTTTGCGCTCCTAGCCAAAAGTTAAGTTTTGTTTGTTTGTTACTTTATACATCCATCTCTCTATATTTATACAGGGTGACCCAGAAATATTCTGGAGGGATTACGGTATACCCATTGTTATATTAGAATCCGAAGTATTGTTTTGCCCCAGTATAACTGCATTTATTTTCATATATGTGCCTGTGTATTAATTTGCACATTTACTTTTTTTTTTTTTTTTTGGGGGGGGGGGGCACCTGGTACTTTTGGTCTTCCTGATTTTTATGCAAGTTGAAATAGCAGTAAGTTTTCAGCACTCATAATTTTGTTTAATTTGAACTACTGTTCACTACTAACTGCATTGATATATCAGTAAGTTTTCAGCACTTATAATTTTGTTTTGTTTTGAACTGCTGTTCACTACTAACTGCGGTAATTTTACCAGTTGTTGAGATCACAATTTCAGCAAACTTACATCTGGTTATTGGTAGAGGATATATTTTTTTCCAGTTAGATGCAATGTAGTTATAACTCCAGCTTTATTAGAGCACCATCAGAAATTGCCATTTGTTGTCCCAGTTAGAGAGCACTGGGTTTGCTAGATTTATGCTTATATGTATTTTTTCCTATTTTTTCATTATTATATATCTTTTTGTGTTTTAAAACTTAAATCGTTTCTATAAAGAAAAGGGCAGCTGAGTAAAGGAAATCTGTTATACGTAAGAATTGTTACATTAATCACTTCAAATATGGTATATATAATGTTTATTATATTTGAATGTTTTGATTACATTATGTCCTAATCATGCTTGGATTTCAAGAGAGTATTTTTTTTTCTTATTAACCGAACAAGTTAGAAAACCAATTGGTTTCGCTGTACTTCTAAGTAGGTCAAGTAAAATTAGGTCATTTAGACCAACATGAATATGCAGCTGTGTTCACACGGTCTTGCTAATACTGTATACAACGCCGGAGTTAGGGTTCCAAACACGCCGGTTTTGGTCGTAATGGCAAATGTTGCGTTAAAAAAAAGTGATAGAATGTGAATCTCTTTTTGCATCAGTACTTTGTGTTGTTTACGTTTGTACTTTTTGTTGAGTTTGTCTTTATCATCTGCATAGATAATATTCTAGATATGGTTTCTCTGCTACATTATTTCAAAGACAGCAGTTAACACCAGGGATGAACTAGGTGACAAAACTGCAAACAAATGAACAGCTGAAACCATTTCCAGGGTTTTTTTTCCCTTTCTTGCTTGTTAGAATCTCTTATTTGTCCTCATTGTGAATGATAGTACATTTATATTGTTTATCACACTGATCTTATGCCCATGAAAATTTTGATCTCTCTGATCATTCTGCGGTAAGGAAATCGTTGAATAAAACCGTTGATTTCATTAGTGCATTTTGTTATTAATATGCCTTATGCGAAGAACTATGTTTTTTCTAGCAGAACAAAACCTCTTCTGTAAGTACGTTCAATGTACAGAATGATTTGGTCCTTGAAAGATTCCAACTCTGACGACGTCTTTGTCACGTAATTGTAGAAGTGTCATTTTCATTGTACTCCAGTCTTCCTAAGCGAATAAGATTTGCCTGTTTGTTTCCTTCTTGTGTTTATGTATCTGTTACAAACTTTTTGAGTAGTTTGATACATTTGAAACTTAGGTCAAAATGCATTCTTTTACAATTTCGCAATAACAGAGTCGCAAAACACCGTTCTGCCTATTGCTCCTTAAAAAGAAAGGAAACGGTGCGCCCCGGCCTTTAACTGCTAGAGGGTGTTTTGAACGTTAAGAAAATGTTCCTAATGATAATAAAACAGAGACAAAGAAAAAACGCCCTGATGGTGACATATCTTATGCAAATGTACTTTGAACAGGGTGAACGTACAAAAATTAATGAAAACAATAAAGTTCACATTAAGCCATGCAGTGTAATGCACCGAAATACGATTACAATACAATACGAATGGACATCATCTACACCATGATTATTCCCGTATCCCAAATTATAGCAACAGTCCCCACTTATGGGGTTTAGCTCCTATAGTAAGTAAAATTAAGTTTTGGAATCGATTATGGACTGCTGGGAGACTCAATTAATGGTCAAAGATTAATCCCAAGGTTATAGTTTGAAAGAAATGACCATTACCGCTTTATTCATTAGGCAAGTACATCTACTAACTACCACTTGCCATTCTACATGAAGTCACTGAGGAGCGACCAAATCACAATAACAACTCTCCTGGTACACTAAAGAACCAATAGTACTTTTACTATGGCTACAATTAATGGCTTGTGTTTAATTCACTGAATCAACCAACGGGGTCAACTAGTAATGCGTTCCCTTTGAATGGTCATACTTCTGTAAGGCAGTTTATCTGGCAATGGAAAGGTTAAAGATTGTACATGTAGCGGCAAAAATTAGGAACTGCTTTATACAATAGTTAAAACAACGCAGCGTTTGTATTGGAATTAAATGCTCATATTGTGAAGGTGCTGAAGCAGTCCCGATTATTTTACCATTTTACCTTTGGCAAACAGAAACTTTATACCATAAACGAAAGTGTAACTTGTGACAGAACATATTTTGTGGCCAATGGAAATGTTTCTTTATATATGTCATTATAACAGGAGAGTCAAGTGTATCCCTTTTTGTTTGAATATAGTGGTACTGTATAAAACAAACAACGACATACACCAGGAATGACACAAACACAGTCTTTTTGAGACTGTAGATGTCGAGAAAATGACATTTATAGCAACAGCGTGTAGCGTGATGGGTCGTTAGAGTTTGTCATTGGCTAATTAATAGGTCATAATTGTCCATTACTGACCGTGATTGGATAACTAATTTGTCAAATGTACCAATTGTGGCCTGTGATTCAATTACAAATAGGACATAATTGCCCATTGTACCGAAAGATGACTATCATCGGATGACACTAATTAGGTCGCCTTTGTACATTACAGCTGTGTTGTTGTTTACAGAATGATTCACCAACCTCGACTTCACTAATTCAACCGAGTCGCCTCTGTCATTATTTTCGATGAATACTTTTATTACAAACTTATTACTTGCCTTAAATGATTTATGTTTAGAGATATTTGATAATGATTTACGGTACCATCGACCGTTAGTGGTCGTTTCCCCATGGGTTTATTACTTACCTATCCGACTTTGAATTATGGCTCTTACTGTTCGTAAAGTGCTTTGTGATGAAATTTGTCTACGAAAATGGTAATTATATTGTACAAGTACAGAATATGCAGAGATTTACTTTTTATTGTGTGTCACCTGACATGTTACAATATTAATTTTATAAATGGTAAGGTCTAAAGAATGACATTTGACATTGTAACCCCTAAAATATTTGGTTTCATGGTCCTAAATAAAATCTGTTTTACTCTAACTTCGAGTGATTAATTGATATGATTCCAGTGCAACCAATGAAATTTTAATATTCTCAGGGAAGTTCGTATTGTCCTAAAACGACCAAATTACATGTACGTCAACACTGCAACCTTTTCTAATCCTTTATTTTGATAATCAGTTTGTTCCTTTGCTTAAGTACGGGTAAACCCTATTGCCCTGAATTCGTTAAATGTTTCTTTATTAAATTTCCTTTATAATGCGTCATACATGTTAAGATAAGTAGTTAGCTGTTTAAACATTTAATTGGCTTAGTAGCCTACACGTAGTAATAGAACTACAAAACACCCAAAATTCATCAACCAGTTTCAAAGTTTGCTGGGATATTAAACTCTGTAATCAGCATATACATGCATATGCCGTTAACATTGGTGGAAACCCAAGAGGGTAGCTGACAATGAAATAAAACACTGCCCAGTAAACTATAAATTGCTAATTCATAAGTATCAAACGCCGTGTCAAATTCTTCGGTACAACGTATCTGCTCTAAGACAAAGACAAATTACTGTAAGTGAGGACACCTTGATTTTTTTTTCACAAATGTATACATCAAACGTGCTGTCTACCAGAGGCGTACATGATGACGTCAGGTGCCTAAATGATGACGTCATTTTGGACAAAAATTCTCCAATGAAATTTTCGCTCTGTGACCTTGGTGGTGGATACACCAAATGCCACACGTTCCTCCATATACCATAATACGAATGAATGTCATGGATGCCAAGGGTCTCTTAAAGATAGGTAATTGTCAAGTTAAGTGTCAACCATATTGTATTCTCTCAAGTTGTTTTCTGCTTTGGTAAAGTAAAAGAGTGCATGGAAACAAAGGAGAAACATAGACAATTTTCTTCTAGCATTATCTCTTAACTGTTGACAAACCTCTACACAGGTGGTGCACTATTGGAATACAAAATAGTTGAACAACATGCGCTTTATAAATTTATAATAAGTTAAACATTGTCTGCTATTGACTTATCAACCAATGGTTTGCTAGCAAAATATGCAATAAATATTATATGTATGAATATACCTTTCAAGCAAATTAAAGTTCTAATTCCAATTCGTGTAAAGATAAAGATAACACACTGTGCAGTATATAGTAATGGGTATATCAGCAAAGAGTGTCCCTGTGCACATCAAATATATAATCAATATGGAGTCAATCGCTTTTCTGTTTTAAAATGAAAAATATCAAACTTTGTCATGCAATGAAATTACAGGAAGTTTGCAAAAGCCAATAAAAGCAACGTTAGTTCCAAGTAAACGTGGCTATTGTTGTCTAGGAAGATACAACATAAACCAAAATTGTGGCTGAACCATGGACACACGCTACTACAAATCAAATCGTTCCACTTGTAAACTGCGCTTAAAAAAAAAAAAAAAAAAAAAAAAAAAAAAAACAGTCCAATTTCCCTTGTTGTACAGGGCAAGAACAACAACAACATATACTAGATGTGATGTCTTGTTACATGTATGTATAATTACTTCTACTTAGTACTACTTAGATCCCTTGTGGGTTGAAGATCAGTTGTCAGCATGTTATGTCAAGAAGAAGGGTCATAATATAAAACGCAACTATCAATGTCGACAGACAACATTCAAACAGAAAATGGATTGTTACGAATATCCTCTCAATCGGCATGCTCAAAATGAGAATACAAACTAAAAACGCTGAATGGAGTCAGTTCAATGTGTAATCAATGGTCACCGATACGTCGTAAGTCCTTGATTCAACGCTACGAGAGTCGTTATCTAACACGCAAGCACCAGTTGCCAAGACATTCTGGAAATGGGAGACTAAT